ATCTGTGAGAGAGGGCGAGGGTTTTTGTGAATTTTGGGGCTCTTGAGGTTTCTGGGGTGTGGGGGGATTTTGGGAGTTTTAGAGAGAGAGAGAGAGGACTCTTGTGAGCGCCACTCGTGATTTTTCTGCCGCGCGAATCACGTCAGTGAGTTAATTTATGGGAGTAATGAGTGGGCCCCCTGAGAGAGATATTTTTAACTAATTCCCGGGGAGCACACCCCCGTGTGTGCTTCTACACTTTCTCTCGCGATTTTTAACACACACGTGGCCGCGTTGAGGTGCCCACACTCTCCCACAGAGTCAGTGTTAAACCCCCGTCACTCTCCCCCTCCCTCTCTCTGAATTTAAGAGTGCGCACGTATGAAAATATCACACAATAGTTGTGCACAAAAAAATAGTGAGATATATATATATATATATATATATATATATATATATATATATATATATATATATATATATATATATATATATATATATATATATATATATATATATATATATATATACTCCCTCCGTTTCAAATTATCTGTAACTTTAGAGAATTTTTTTTGTTTCATATTATCTGTCGTTTTATAATTCCAATGATGCATTAATTAAATAATTTCCACCAATACCCCTAATGCAAACTACCCACACGGTTATGAAAATGAAAGCTACGTTCCAATTACCTCTTTTTGTCTCTTAATTTCCCCCCACTCTCTCTCTATTATTAATTGTAAATATAACTAGCTTCAATTTTTATTTATTTTATTTTCAATACACTCCACTCACAGGGTTTATTAAAAAGACATAAATGCATGATCAATACTAATTCTATTTAACTTCTCTCAGGTGAGGAATGACAAATAAAAATGGATATTGACAACATAAAAAATGGGGAGTAATTTCGAGAGACTAAATAATTTATGAGTAATTGAGATTCAAGAGAGAGAAAAATGGGGAGAATAAGGGGGGAAATTAAATTAGTGGGAGAGTCAAACACAAACACCAAGAAATCAATTCCTATTAATGGGTATGAGAGAGAAATAAATAAAACCAAAATTTGGTAAAAGAGTATATTAGTCTATTGATGATTTTTCTCCTCAAATTTAGCCATATTTATTGAATTTTTTAGTTGTTGTGCAAATACCTTAAACGTATAAATTGGCATGGAGGGAGTATATAATAATAAGGGTAAAATTCATTTTGCACCCCTGTACTATGAGAAAGGTATCGTTTACCCCCCTAATGTATGAAAAACATCAAATACCCCCCTGCCGTTAACTTTTTTCTTGAATCCGTTAGTCAAACCCTTTG